CATGCAAGCAGGCGGGCATGCATGCACTCTAGCATGGCCATGCAATCACTGCAAACAGCACCGATCCTGACGTTCGCAGGTTCTCAAAACGAGCAAACCCAATGCTCGATCGACATGCGGTATCATATGGTATCATCGTCATCACCCAGGTCCGGACGGTTTCGGCGTCATTTCTGACATCGACGACACCGTGAAGGCCGAAGTCGCTTGCGCTGTCTTGTACGGCCGATGCAGCTCGCGTCCTGCCCAGCTTTGACGGACGGGCCTTTGGAATTTCACAAGCGCGACAGTAACTTTGCAGCAGTCAAAGCATCGAGCATGAGCATGAGCCCAACAGACATGTAGCCGAGAGCCCGATCGATGCTGGTTGCCGGATGCAACCACGCATCACTCGTGCAGGGCATGAGCATTTTGAAAAGAAGTGCATTGTATCGTTTAGTTTTCATATGCACTCACGGCATAGCAACAAAGTCGCCATGTCACAGCATAGAAGCTTTGTAGAGAAGAATCTGGACAGCATAATGAAACAACGTACGCCGCAGCAGCAACAACAACAACAGCAAGGAGTATTGCGACAACCTTCAAAAACAAAGCATGTTTTCATCACTACGTCAGAAGTTCACACTGCGAGACTAGATTACCTTCGCGGGCTTGGACATAGCCTGCGCAGGTCACTGAGGTCTTCTACGGCATCAAGGTGCAGAGCTGCAGGATTTGGGGATGAGGGTAACCGGGTGTGTGCTGTTGAGTCGCTGAGCCGCCGCGAGTTGAAGTAGGGCTACAACCCGTTGAAGCCGTTTCTCCCCGCGCTCCCAACCCGCCAGCTGTCCAAAACAAATGGCTTCCCCAGACGAAGAAGGAAGACTGCCTGCAAAGATATCCTTTGGGTTTAAGGTTCAGGGATCGTGAAAAGAGCTTGTTGTCGAACAGACCCAGTCTTGGCCCGAGCGGCTTGATGGACCTGTTGCCTTCAGAAGGATCGGGCGAAGACTGTCGGATTAACTCACTCGGGCGATGATGCGGGAATCGTTGCCGACATCAGAAAACAGGAAAAGGGTTGCAGTATTTCCGAAATCCTCAGGACCCCAAAGCTTGGTTCCCCAACCCAAATTTCACCCGAAAGCAGTGCTCCCAGTGGACCAAATCATGTCCATTTGAAATCGTTTGTTAAGTCTCCAGCCTTGCACCAGACCCTCTCTTCTGCAAGGCTGTGCTGCAAAACACGTTCCTGAAGACTTTTGATGCCGTGCCCACGACTTGGATCTTCTTCTTCCGAAGAGCTTGGCGCAGTAGGGTCGACATCGGGTAGTGTAGTAAACACGATACTGGAATCTAAAACCCAAGACTGTTGCACCTCGGCGTTCGAGGATCCGGAGTCCCAATTGCTTCAATTGCACGAGCTCCGGTTCCTCACGCCGAGGGCCTTCTATTTACAGACTCCGGTGCTCAGGAATCCAACTTGTCTATCAGGTTGTAGCTCTTTGGTTGTCGAGCATTGCTCAGTCTCACGAACCCAGTCCAGCGAAACAGTGGGTGCTTTCAAAGGGCCTCTGTTCACTGTAGCTATATGGTGTATTTGCATGCATGTACATATATATATACATATGTATGTATGTACGTGTTTATGCATCATGAAGATGGGCCTACTGGTAGTCGTTCGGCCATTTGCTTGTCGCCTGCGCTGCTGTCCTCCTTGCGACATTACTCTCCGCAGGTGTCCTTCCCGTCTATGTCCCTTTCTAGCATTTCCCGCAATGTATGTATGCGTGTCACACGTGTATATGCGAGGACAGATAGATCAGGTCACCCACTGGGTACTACAGACACCGGCAGATACTTGCATGAAACGACGTTGAAGCTGTCCACGTTCATTTGATTGCGTAAGCTTGGTCAAACAGTTCAAAAGTCTCCAATGGCTCGTGTCTGCATGTACGTCCACCAGACTGAGGCCAGGAATGGCGGCCCTGTACCAAGGCATCCCGTGCATGGTATGGCACGTTGCGGACTGGTTCCCTAAGCCCCAAGCCCTCAATCTCTGCCACCTCAGTAGCAAGACAAAGAACGAACGTCGTTTCTCACCCCTCCCCCCGCTGCCGAACTGTTGTTGGCTTCGACTTTATGGCTCCCTTTTGTGACAATGAAAGCAGTCTAGTCATTACGTCTTCTAAGCAGGCAAGATGCTTACTGTGCTCGTGTTAGTTCAAGTCCCACTGCATTCGCTGTGGCATACAGTATAAGCCCTGAACTTCAGTTCGGCAGAGGAAGGCAGGCGCGCAAAGCTCCCGCGCCTAGATCAATGGAAACCCGACACCAAGGCCCGAAAGCACCACCTCTGCACAGCTTAGGACTGAAGAAACAATGGGCGTAGTTCCTGCTCTTGCACACATTACTTGACTGTCATTGCCGACCACCATCGTCAGCGCTGGCATTGCTGGCGTTACTACTTGCATATTTACCTACCTCGTTGTTTTAACAGGCCCAAAAGGGCCTACTTTAGTTGAGCGCGAAGACCCGAGACCTTAAACCCCGAAATGCTACTGTACCCGAAACCCATGAAGCCTAAACAGCTCCAAACTCAGAATCCCACCCAAAACCCTTCCAACGCCTGCAGGCTGGGCCAAGCAGCGGGCCAGCTTTCATTACGTTTCCAAAAGCCTGCATCTCACTGCCTGGGGCTTTACGGTTTAGGCTATGGGTTCAGAGTTCGGGGTTTGGTGCGTTTTGGGTTTAGGGCTGAGGTTTTTGGGTTCGAGATTTAGGGCTTCAGGCCTTGTCAGAAGTGACGCCTGCACATACAGAGAAAGATAGAAGGAGAGCAGTGCATAATCTGTTTTAGCATGGCATGCAAAATGGCTTGAGGATTACTTTCTCAGAGGCTTATCCCTGGAAGCAGAACTGTTATGGTGTCATGTAGGCTCTTTAGCTCACCACTTCATGTCGACAAAACAGACATGTCTTCGTCGCTCAGGATTGTTTTGCTGCTCCGTTTCGCTTTGAAAGCCCTCGCGTAATTCGGGAATCAACATTGTGTGACATGCGCAAACATAGACGCCGCTATTGTCCAGGCTTACATCTGGCAAAGATGGCATACGTACCCGGTGCTTCGTCCACGCATGGTGTCTTAACTACTCGTTTGAGTCGAAGGCCTAAGGCTGGTTCCGTTCCTGCGTATTGAAGGCACATGAACAAACTCTCAAGCACGAGGAACCACCGTCCAGGAACTCACTGATCACGCACGTGATGTCGAGGGGCACCACACACCCCATCAGGGTATACCATGGCTCCACATTCTCGCTTTTCCGAAGGGTTTGCTTGACTGTGGAGACATACAATGGGTGCATGAAAGTTAGCCACGCAGTCGGGGATGGTTTTTGGTAGGGCAAATGTGCACGACTTGACGGAGTCAGAATGCACAACAATGTTGCGATCTTGCAGAAGCTGTTGCCGAAAGCTATCTTCACTCTACTCGCCGAATTGCTCCCGGATGTGGGCTGTTTGGGTGACTCTCTGAACAACAGGGGTTGCGAGCCCCCGTCTGCACGCTAGCTGCTTCTGCATGATGGGCGTTTTGTCTCGCAATCACGGTGTCCGATGACAGATTCTCACTCCGCGTCCCGATCTTTGTCGGCCGTGGTGCCGCTCAAAGCAGCTCACGAGAAAGATCGTTCCTTCCGTTTGGCCCAGGAGACTTGGCAAGTGTCCTGAACTATCTCTCCAAGCATGAGAATTGACCGTGGCCCCGTAAGTTTGGCCTTGCATAAGACGAAATGGTTCAAGAGCCTCGCATGGCAAGTGTACAAGAGTCGGGGCACCGAGCAGTAATTGAGGGTAACGAAGAGTAGCATGGCCACATTCGGAGAAGCAATGCTCTGCAGTGAGAGAAAACTGAATGTGAGGAAATTCTGTTGTGCTTGGCAATACGAACTGGAAATTTATGATGATGTGTGACGGATCGCTCGGGTTCTGATTCTGCTCATTTTAACGCCCGAAAGTGTTTTTCTCAAGTCGTAGTTCCTGTACGTCTTCACACGTCGACGCAACTGGTACTGACGACGACGAAGACGTGAAACGACAGTTTGCTGCTATGCCCAACTGAACATGATACAGATTGTTGGCTCGTGGTAAGCACCTTGCCGGTGAAAACTTGTAAGGACATGATCGCGGCTATGTATGACTACAACATTTTGCTGGCCAAGCGCCTTGATCAAACTGCCGCTGCTTGTCTCCAAGACGGGACCGAAGACGTCGCTGCCACCCTGTCGTTCGGTTACGTAATCCAAAATTCTGGGCACTTGAACTCAAACACTCAGAGTTGCAAGTTCCAGATTTAGAGTCAGAAATGTTGACATTCGGAATTCGGGAGTTTCTTGCAACTCGGAAATTGCAGTGTTGGAGCTGAAGCTTGTAAGTTTGGTCACATGTACTCCACTCCTTAGTCTTGATGTGTCCACCCCATCACTTGCACTGGTCGAGAAACATGCAAACTTTGCAAGCTAAACCCGCCTCTTCTGGGGCCCGGGTTCAAGCTCGCATGCCTAGCTTCGGCTAGAGGTTTGAAGCTCAGCTGCGACTTTGTCGAAGAATTCACAACTTTAAGATAAGGCCCAACCCTAAAAACCTTGAGCATGCAGGCCCTCCGGAATTGCACGGGCCTTTGTCCGATTTCTTGCAGAAGAAGGCCAGTAGGTCTTTACAGCTTCTGGCTTTGAGTTAAATGTAGTAAATGCAGGGTGCTGCGGTTGTGATACCCTATATACGCTCCTTTGTCAGAGGCGTAGGGGCGTCATGATGTAAAGGGCCTCAGGGTTCAGGAATGTTCAGGATTTGTGAACACCTTCGATCGTGAAGCCACACAAGCCCAGCTCCCGACAAGCTTGATTAGGCGGAAAAAGCTTCAATTCATTGAACAGGAAGGGCGGCCCTTAGTTTGCTTTTGTCCGACCTCCGCAAAGCCCGATTTAAAACCCCTCAGACCCTGAAGTGGCTTGCGAACCTCGCAGGGCTTCCCGGTCTCTTCGATCCACCTTTGCCCGCTTCTGGGGCGCGACCGCGCGAATTTCAAACTGCGCCAGGTGCGTGAGGGTCCAGGGTTTGGAGGTTGATCCCTGAACCTTCAGGCTTGGGGTTGACTCGAGCTTTCCGCTTGGAAGAAGCCCACCAGGATCTTGACAGCTATGCCTCGGATCCGTGAGTTCAACTCCCCGAAATCTTTCCCCTTCAGGTGACGAGCTTGCTCTCCCAGTTTCCCAACAGGAAGCTGCTTGGACTGGAGAAGTATCCGCGCGCTTTCGCAGAATTTCCACAGACAGCGTGTCACTCCACAAGGCTTTCTGCACCCAACCTGCATTCCAGTTTAACAAACCGCACCAGAGAAACCAACGTAGTTCAAGCTAACCCGTAGCTGTCCGTGCCTTTCAAAGCCCATGCGTAAGCCTGCAAGACTGCTGCCAGCTACAATGCTACAAGCCCACCCGAGAGCCTCGGCCGCGAGTGCCGGAAGCGATGATCTCAAGATATGCCACATGTTTCACTTCCGGCACGCTGGTCTTTGAGCGAAAGGCCAAGTGCATCCAGGTGCCAAAGCCAGAGCTCGAACGACCAAGTCGCCGAAGCAACGAGAGAGACACCCTTTAGCCAAGGTTCATCTTGGTGGGCGACTCCGGTGAACGGGATGCTGAGGCAGGAGTTGTAAGACAGTCGTGGGTATCGGTGAGTCTCAAATGGAAAGTCAGGCCTGGGGATTCGAGGGCTCCAAGGCTCAAGTCTGAATCATTTGGCAGAGCAGGGTGGGTCTGACATTTGCCTGTTTCTCTTCCCAACATAAGAGTACGAATGGTTGGCTTCAGGCTTACGGCTCTGAGGCAGCCAGAGTAGAGCTGGATGGCTAGATTCCGACCCCTTGCAGTCTCCAATGCCTCCATCTTTCTTCTGTAGACTTTGCAAGGACCGGGTATACTGCCGCCTTTATCCTTTTGTTACAGCCGAACCAACCCAAGCATCCAGAGCTCCAAAGACCGAGCCGGGCCACCCTGGAAGTCTTGAGCTTTAGTTCTGGGCATTTCCAGAGTTTCGGGATTTTCGGGCCCTCGAACGGCGGCAACGCAGGTCTACGCGGAGATTATGCGAAAGCATCCCTCACAAGTTCTCAAGGCGGCCGGGCCGCGCTGATCGTTGCACTGCAGCAATGCTCCTGTAATCCCCAGCCTCAGCCTGAATGATGCTCATCCGAACCAGCAACTAGGGACAAGGACTTGCGATATGCAAAAGGGATTGTCAACTTTCCGCTTGGATTGGAGGCGCGCGTTGGGTTTAGTGGAATTGACTGAATGCTCATTTCCGCACGGGTTGCATGATGATCGAGTTTCAACTCTCCTGCAATGTGTCGTGCACGCTCTTCGCAGTTTCGACACCGCTTGGTGAATGCTTCCGCCCTACACCCTCAGCTTACATACTTAATAAACTAAATCGAGCATCCGTCGAAGGTCCTGATCCGGGCCGTCATGGCAGAGGATGTGGAAAATATTGAAAAGGCCTGCAGATTGCCGATCTTCCGGCTATTCCAGATCGAGCTCTTTGGTTGGGGGCTGTGTCAGAGGGTTCAGTGTTTGCAGCGATGGGTTTCGGGTTTAGCCACAAAGCGTCCACCGAAGATTCCAGCGCGTGGGCCTGAATGTCTGGCTTTTCCATTGGCAGACCCAGCTTCCAGGAATTCCAATACTCTCGGAACCCACAAAAAGTATAATTAGTCTTTGCTCAAGCCTTTGCGTCACAGTACAAGGGTTGAGACGCTGATCCGCAGGCCCGGGCCGCTTTTAAAGGCATTGACGAGGCCAAGTGGCAGGCCTGGGCAAAGTTACTAGATCCGGCTAGGAAGCAGTCAATCGTGGGTTTGTTTTGTTCGATTACGCCGCAGGCGTTTCTGAATCTGGTCTGCTTGATATCCTGCCACTCTTTGGCAGTCACCACCAGAATCTCCTTCTCCTATGGATTGAGCGGCAAGGCGTTCAGGACAGTCGGGTGTTCAGCTGCAGGCTACAATTCATGAACATCTCAATCCGAAGCCACATGCAAGGTGGCGATCCTACAAGCCCGAAAGCCCTTGCACTCTGCTGATTCCTCTATATTCCTGTTACATGCTGAAGTTGAGCCAGACCTGTTTGCGCCTCCGAATCCCAAAGGTGTTCACAGATCCTGCTGACATCTTGGAGCCAGAGTCCCGCTCCAAGAAGCTGATGCCATATCAACATTAATATGTATCTGTTCAGTCTCCCAAGGGTTCTGTCTCAGCGTGAAAATGTCTAGCACTGTGCGTACTCAAGAAACCGTATCAGCCATGACAGCAGGTCACGGTTTGTCATGACGTACGAACACTGACCATGAGATTGTACACTGACCATGTGTTTGAGGATGTGGACGCTATGTAACATGTGCAAAAGGATGGCACATGTGCTTGTTTTTCATAGTTGCTGCATTGCTTGTGTGTGTGTGTGTATTTGTGTATATGTATGTGTGTATATATATATATATATATATATATATATATGGTACCCCCCCCCCCATTGACCTACCCTTTTTGGTCTTTTTGAAAGGCAAGGGTGGGTCGGGGCGGGGTGTACCCGAATGGAGCGGCGTTCCCAAAGACCTAGTTTCTTAAAAGACTCAATCTTTCGGAGGTCGAGGGAGACTGTATCCAAAACCAAAAAAATTCAGGCCTCGCAGCACCTTGGAACTCTGGGCGCTGCAAAACACTGAGAGGCCTCAATCTTTTGGAATCCCGAACCTCAGAAAAATTGAGGCCTCTCAGTGTTTTGCAGCTTCCAGATTCCAAAACATTGAGAGGCCTCAATCTTTTTTGATTTTGAAGCCAAAACGCTGGGAGGCCCCAAAAGACTCAAAAGACTCAATCTTTTGGAGGTCTTGGGAAACTATAACCAAAATCAGAAAAATTGAGGCCTCTCAGTGTTTTGCAGCTTCCAGATTCCAAAACACTGAGAGGCCTCAATCTTTTGGAATCCCGAACCTCGGAAAAATTGAGGCCTCTCAGTGTTTTGCAGCTTCCAGATTCCAAAACATTGAGAGGCCTCAATCTTTTGGAATCCCGAACCTCAGAAAAATTCAGGCCTCTCAGTGTTTTGCAGCTTCCAGATTCCAAAACACTGAGAGGCCTCAATCTTTTTATGATTTTGAAGCCAAAAGGCTGGGAGGCCCCAAAAGACTCAAAAGACTCATTCTTTTGGAGGTCTTGGGAAACTATAACCAAAATCAGAAAAATTGAGGCCTCTCAGTGTTTTGCAGCTTCCAGATTCCAAAACACTGAGAGGCCTCAATCTTTTGGAATCCCGAACCTCAGAAAAATTGAGGCCTCTCAGTGTTTTGCAGCTTCCAGATTCCAAAACATTGAGAGGCCTCAATCTTTTGGAATCCCGAACCTCAGAAAAATTGAGGCCTCTCAGTGTTTTGCAGCTTCCAGATTCCAAAACATGAGAGGCCTCAATCTTTTGGAATCCCGAACCTCAGAAAAATTGAGGCCTCTCAGTGTTTTGCAGCTTCCAGATTCCAAAACACTGAGAGGCCTCAATCTTTTGGAATCCCGAACCTCAGAAAAATTGAGGCCTCTCAGTGTTTTGCAGCTTCCAGATTCCAAAACACTGAGAGGCCTCAATCTTATTGATTTTAAGGCTAGTTTCCTAAGACCTCCAAAAGATTGAGTCTTTTGAGTCTTTTGGGGCCTCCCAGCGTTTTGGCTTCAAAATCATAAAAAGATTGAGGCCTCTCAGTGTTTTGCAGCTTCCAGATTCCAAAACACTGAGAGGCCTCAATCTTTTGGAATCCCGAACCTCAGAAAAATTGAGGCCTCTCAGTGTTTTGCAGCTTCCAGATTCCAAAACATTGAGAGGCCTCAATCTTTTGGAATCCCGAACCTCAGAAAAATTGAGGCCTCTCAGTGTTTTGCAGCTTCCAAATTCCAAAACATTGAGAGGCCTCAATCTTTTGGAATCCCGAACCTCAGAAAAATTGAGGCCTCTCAATGTTTTGCAGCTTCCAGATTCCAAAACACTGAGAGGCCTCAATCTTATTGATTTTAAGGCTAGTTTCCTAAGACCTCCAAAAGATTGAGTCTTTTGAATCTTTTGGGGCCTCCCAGCGTTTTGGCTTCAAAATCATAAAAAGATTGAGGCCTCTCAGTGCTTTGGAGCTCCCACAGTCCCAAAGTGCTGAGAGGCCTCAATCTTTTTGAGTCTTGAATCTCAAAAAGATTGGGGCCGCTCCAGGTTTTGCAGCTCTCACAGTTCCAAAGTGCTGAGAGGCCTCAATCTTTTGGAGTCTTGAACTTGGGGCCGAGAATATCTGGCCACATTAGTTTTCTGCTTCTGCTGCCATTTTTTTTTTGTTTGTTTGGGGCCCTGGGCCCTGTTACTCTGTTACTCTCATACTCTTATACTCTATGACTCTATTACTCTATTACCCTATGACTCTATTACTCTCTTACTCCAAAAGCTCTATTACTCTATTACTCTAATACTCTATTACTCTACTCTACTACTCCACTAACTCTATGTATTACTCTATTACTCTATCTACTTTATTTCCTCTATGACTCTATGACTCTATTACTCTGCTACTACCCCTACTCCTACTACTACTACTACTACTACTACTACTACTACTACTACTACTACTACTACTACTACTACTACTACTCGTACTACTAATACTGCTATTGCTACTGTTACTGGTACTGCTTTACTATTACTATGCAGCACTATTACTATTACCAGTACTATTACTCTTACTATTACCAATGCATAAAGTCATGGAGCAAAGCCTGCGGGTCACGCGCTTCGCGCGCACTGTTTCTTGTACTATTACTCTTTCTTTATTACTCTATTGCTATTGCTCTATTGCTCTATTGCTTTATTGCTTTGTTACTTTATTACTCTATTAGTCTTTTCGTCTTTTAGTCTGTTTAGTTTGTTTAGTCTATTAGTCTATTAATCTATTAGTCTACTAGTCTACTCGTCTATTCGTCTATTAGTCTATTAGTCTATTAGTCTATTAGTCTATTAGTCTACTAGTTCTGTCTATTAGTCTATTCGTCTATTCGTCTATTAGTCTATGATTGTATTACTCTATTACTCTTTACTATTACCAGTACTAGTACTATCTATAACAAACACGCGAAAAAAAGCCACAGGTGCAAAAAAATAATGGCGACAAAAATAGGCCCTCCCTTGTCCATGCATCATTGCCACTCATTGCTCCTGAGACCCCCAACAAAGGTAGGTCAATGGGGGGGGGGTAGCATATATATATATATACATGTTTGCATAGGTATGTGTATACATATATATATATATATATAGATAGATAGATAGATAGAGAGAGAGAGAGAGAGAGAGAGAGTCGGTTTGGTTTCAGTGCTTTTTCTCGGGTTTCTTGGTTTATAGTTAGCTCCAAATTGCGGGAGCTTGTGTTTGTGTGGCTTGTAAAGCATATACCACAAAGGATGCAGCTGTGCAAAGTCGTTCTCCAACAGGCGCCACACTGGTTGAACACTTAATCTGGGTTCTTGTGCAGCAGATCTTACGAGCAGAAAACTCTGTAAATACCGGTGGTTTTAAGACTCTGTAAAGAACGTCTTAGGGTATGCTACATAAGCTCGACAGTTTCCCTATGCAGCTCTGAACCTCTGGCTTTTGAGACTTTGGACTGTCTACACAAAGCAAGCCTAGCCAACACCGTTGTTTGTAACAATATCTGAAAACACCAGCGTAGTGGTTCAGCCCAATTAGCTGTCGAATTGCATCAGCTTAACGAAATCTGCATGCACATAAGGGCCCTTGTTTTGCGCAGTGAAGCCCAGTAAAGATGCGAGCAGTTCAGCCTATGCATCTATTTATAATACTACCAAGGACAAACTGTAAGCGATGAAGATCTGACTCTTGTCCTACATTGGAATCCTACTTGTGTTGATGCTTATGCGATTCTGGCTTCTTCCAATACCATTGTTGATAAGGTACCCTTCGAAATAGCCAGTAATTGGATCACCAGCGTTAGGATTTATGAAAATGCTGCACTGGATACCGGGTCGGTTCCAAGCCATAACGGATCGTCCTCCTATAGTTCCTGAAATCGGTATGGTCCAGGCCATTGCACGCCTCCATGTCTACACATAGCTTTACAAGAGAATTTGGTTTAGTTGAAATACTATTCACAAGAATCTTGTGGTTTCGCTCGAGAAGCCAGGACGTATCAGCCGCACGTTGCTGCAGTGCGTTTGTCTCTGTATACACAAGAGGAGAAACACGCGGGCCCGATTTTTTGTTGCGCTTAAGCCATATGCTTAAAAACAACTCGCAAGTTTATAAACAAGGCCCGGTGTTGACAAACAACCCGTGTAAGTGTCAACACGAGGACAAGCAGAACTCACGGCAAATACCAGTGTTTTCATGAATTCATCCAACCAAGTCTTGGGGTATATCACATTAACCACTTCACAGGTTCCACGTTCCTCCGTTAAGGAAACATTTGTGACCAGCATTTAAGGCTTAAGGGTTGGTGTCCATTGGGAATGGCTGCACGCGTTTCGGGCGGATCGTGGATTGGTCGGCGGTTGTACGTTGTGGTGGTGAAAGTGCTGGTGGTGGGGGGGGAGGGGTGGGGATGGGGGGCGCCAGTTCCCCTTCATACCAGAACCTTTTCGCCCCCCCCCACCCCCTATAAACAACGCGTGTGTTGATAAACAGCCCTCGTGTTTATAAAAACCATAAAGAGAACTTAAAAACACATTCAACAGACCAACACACCTTGACAAGAATCCTTGACAAGGCGACGCAGACA